ATATGATTAGTGATTTAAGACATCTAGACAATTATAGGGAATATAATAGACCTATTAAGAACATTAAGATTCCTGATGTTCAACATGTTCCTATCACTCACACAGGAAATGCTAAACTTGCTGAAGGTCTTATTCTTAAAGATGTTATCTATGCTCCTTGTCTATTTTAACTTGATTTCTATACCTCGTTTGACTAAAGAGCAATATTGTATGGCTACTTTCTTTCTTGATTTTTATCTCCTGCAGGACCTACAGGGTGGCAGAATGAAAGCGATTGGTGGGATTATTGATGGGTTATACATTCTATCTTTAGATAATCACTAACATGGTTTAAATATTGCAAAGAATAGTAGTTCGAACAATACTTTTGACAATTAAATGCTTTGGCGTCATAGATTAGGGCATGCACCCTTTTTGTTATCAAACATTTATATATTGTAAATGATACTAGTATATCAAGTAATAAAGTTTGTGAGGTGTGTTTTCACTCTAAACGGACCAAGATTTCCTTTTCGTGTAGTTCTATTAAAACGGTCTCTTGTTTTGAGTTGTTACATATGGATGCTTGGGGACTATATAGAAAACCTACACATACGAGGCACCAATTTTTTCTAACCATAGTGGATGACTTTTCTAGAGCCACTTGGATTTTTAAATAAAGTATAAATATGAAACTGTTAGATATATCAAGAATTTCTTCTCATATATCTCTAATCAATTTTCTGCTAAGATTAAGAGAATTAGGACTAATAATAGCAAAGAGTTTGTAAATAATGAACTTATAGTGTATTTAGAAACTAAGGGAATTATACATTGAACCACATGCCTTTACAATCTTGAGCAAAATGGGGTAGCTGGGAGGAAACATAGGACTATAATTTAAGTTTCAAGATGCCTTATGATCTAATCAGGTTTACCTATCCAATATTGGGGTGAATGTGTTAAAACTGTTACCTATATTGTTAATAGGATACCATTCAAGATTCTTCAATATAAGACTCTTTATGAATTAATACATGGAAAATTTCCAAATTTGGATCAATTAAGAGTTTTTGGTTCTCTTGCTTTTGCCACTAATCTTACTGTCACTAATAAATTTTAACCACGTTTTGTCTCTTATGTTTTCTTGGGTTATCCCTATAATCAAAAGGATTATATTTTGCTTGACCTTAAAACTAAACGTATCTTTATTAGTAGACATGTTAGATTCATTGAAGATAAATTTCCTTTTAAGGATATTATCGAAATTGCTGACAAAGAAAGAACTGTTAATGACTTGTTTTGGGATATATTAAAGAATATAAATGTGAATTAAAAAAATGATTCTATAGAATAGGTAAATGCTAATTTTGACATTAACAATCATGAAAATCAAATTAATCCAGTTGAAAATAATCAATTAGATGATCAACCTAGGGTGAGACCCCTTAGAGAGAGAAGACCACATATATGGGCAGAGGATTATGTTCTCATTGCTCGTGAAAATACTAGGATCAAATATCCTATTTAGAACTATATTTCACATGCTAATATTTCATCTTCTTATAAATGTTTTCCTTCTTCCATTGATTCTGCATGTGAGCTTGTATCCTATGAAGATGCTACGAGGAATAGTAACTGGGTGAAAGCCATGAATACTAAATTATATGCTTTAAAGAATAATCATACTTAGGATATAGTGACTCTACCTAAAGGTAAAAGACCTATTGGATGCAAATGGATATATAAAATTAAATATAAATATGCTGGAAGCATTGAAAGATACAAAGTTAGACTAGTTGCTAAGGGGTATAGCTAGAGAAAAGGAATTGATTATCATAAAATTTCTTCTCCTGTTATAAAAATGGTTACTATGAGAATTGCGCTTGCTCTTAGAGCCCAAAATGATTAGGATTTGCATCAAATTGGTGTATACAATGCTTTTTTGCAGGGAGATTTGGAAGAAGAGGTGACAACAAGGGGGAGAACAAAGTATGTAAGCTAAATAAATCTCTTTATGGTCTAAAATAGGCCTCTAGATAGTGGAACTCAAAGTTGTTTAAGTCACTATTAGAGGGAGGTTTTAGACAAAGCAAACATGACTATTCTCTATTTATTAAAAATAATGATGATGGTATAGTTCTTGTCTTAATATATGAGGATGATCCTCTAATCATTGGTAGCTCTAAAAAAGGTATACATGCTATCAAGAGTCTTCTTAATAGTAAATTTAAAATAAAGGATTTAAGGCTGATAAAGTATTTTTTAGGAATTGAAATAGCAAAATCTAAGAAAGGGATTGTCATGAGTCAAAGATTGTCATGAGTCAAAGAAAATATACTTTGGATTTACTTTCTAACACTGGAATGTTTGGATGTAAGCCTATTGCCATACCAATGCCACAACATCTAAAGCTAGTGGCATATGAAGAAGGAAAGCACAGGAATGAATAATTGTTATTTGATCTTAGGGAATACAGGAGATTGGTAGGTTGATTAATTTATTTGACTATGACCAAACCTGACATCTCATTTTCTGTGCAGGTACTCAACCAATTTATGCAAACTCCTACCAAGATGCACATGGCTATTGCAAAGAATCTTTTACGATATTTGAAGATGAATCCTAGACTTGGAGTGTTGTTGAGCTCTAAGAGAGATATTGATCTTACATGCTATTGCGACTCTGATTGGGCATCTTGCAGCACTTCACGAAGATCTAAGAAGGGGTATCTATTGAAGTTTGGAGATAAATTGATTTTATGGAAAATGAAGAAGCAAACACAATTTCTAAATCTTCTGTAGAGGTTGAATACAAATCTTTAAGCATGGCTGTTTCAGAAATTATTTAGGTGCATGGCTTACTCAGAGATTTAAATATTAGTTCTACTAAGGCAATGAATGTCTATTATGATAGCAAAGCTGCCATACATATTGCCAACAATCCTATGTTTCATAAAAGGATTAAGTACATCGAAATCGATTGTCATTTTGTTCTAGAAAAGCTACAACAAAAAATGATAGATTTAAAGCACATCTACTTTAAGAATTAAGAAGTAGACATCTTCACCAAAGCATTGGGTAGAAAGCCCTATGAGAAATTCCTTGGCAAGTTGGGTACCATAAATCTCTATGATTTCAACTTGAAGGGGAGTGTAGAAAAATAAGATATGTAATTAATAATTTAATATTTGATATTGAGTGTTGTTTAATATTGGATGTTGATTATGTTGTATTGGTGCATGTCATTAGAGTACAAATACTCATTCCACATTTTCAATGAAGTAGTAGTTAAATTTATTTTGAATATTATTTTGTTGGGCCTAGCTTCATTTTGTAGAAAATCCTGCAAAAATTTAGTGCTGGACTTTCAACACAAGGGAACGCACATACATAATGGAACGCATGGAATACTTCATATACGTGGCATTGAAATATCGAGGATATAGAAAAAATCGGTATCATGATATCATCAGCTCTATTTTTTGGCCTATGAACATTCAATTAGAAGTCAGCATCAATCAATTAATCAATCAGATGTAATTATCATCGTGTTTACGACTTGCATAGTGCTGGCACACAACTTGTTCATTTTATTGCATTGTCAAAATTGATCGGCCATCAATTTCTTAAAAAAAATTGCCTATTAATTTATGACATGCACTTTCGGCTACACCCCAGCCATTTTGCGTGAGAGTTAGGCAAAACGTGAATTGTGAATACGAGATGCCAAAAAAAAAATAATGCAGCTGACCGACTGGGTGCAGTTTTTTTTTTAATTAAAACAATATTTTACCCAATAGCCGGTATAATCAATTTGCATTAAATCGAATTAGCTAGGTATGAATCATCATCAGATAAAATACACAAACCATAATTTCTAATAAAATTAATAATGTTCACATGTCTGTGTTTTGTTTATTTATTTTATAAAAAATGACAATAAAATCTGTTTAAAATATATAAGTAATAATTTGATTTCTTAAAATGTCATAATTCCTTTGAAGTTTTTGAATTTTTTTGTCATTAATGAGTTTAGATAAATTATCAAATTGCTCTTATTAAAAATAAATGATTTACAAGTTTTATTTAAATATTTATAAATTTTTTTATATTTACAATAATGCAACAGTAAATAAGGAATTAAACATTTAAAACTGTGATTTGCTGTTGTATTATTACAAATATAAAAAAGTTGTAAATATTTAAGCAAAACTTGTGAATCATTTACTTTCAACAAAGATAATTTAATAATTTTTATAATTTTATTAATGACAAAAAAGTTTTAAAAAACTTCAGAAGAAGAATTATGATATTTTGAAAGATTAAATTATTATTTAGATATTTTAAAAAAATTTTATTTTCATTTATCCACTATTTTACTCTTTTTTAATTAAAATATTGGCTCGATCCCATGTGTATATATGGAAGCGGCAAAATTTAAAGTATTTAATTTATGGCAGTTAGAAAGGTGCGTCAATGAGTGTGTTTGGATAGGGGAAAAAATTGATTTTCCCCCTCCAAAATCGATTATTTCAGTAAATTAGCCAAACGGTCAGAAAAGATGAAAATCGATTTGACCCCATACGCGCGTTTTACCGTAAGCTACTTCGATCAGCTTCCTGGTAAACGTTTGTAAAAAATGTTGGGGAAAATTACAAAACAAGCTCAGGAAAAAATTACAAAAAAAGCACATAATTTAATAAAAATAAATTAAACTCTCTTCTTTTTCCTTTTTTTTTCCTTAATAAAATTTAAACTTTGTATATTTAAAAAATTAATATTTGATATTTAAAAATTAAATTATATAGTAATTTATATAGGTAAAAATTAATTTTGATTAAATTATCTAAATATATTCAATTCTGTTAAAATTAATTTTAGAAAAACAGTATCCAAACAAATTGCGTTATAACATAATCAATTATAATTAAAATCTATCACTTAATCAATTATTTTCATAATCTATTATACCCAACTGAAATCCAAACGGACCCAATGGTTTTCAAGCAAACTCCGTCAGACGTGTAAGCCTCAGATTCAATAAAAAAACGTGTTGGTCTGTGCGATGTTTCCAGTAACAAGAGGAACAGCTAAAATTGTGAATTTTTAGTTTTTTTTCCTGTTGTAATTTTAATTTATTTTTTTCAAATTGATTTTTGCGGTATTCTCATTGCGGAAGAACTCGATTCATAAATGGAAGGAAGGAAGAGAAGGAGAGATAGGGGCGAACTCTGATAACATGCCGTCATAAACCCTCTCGCCCCGCTCTTCCTCTCTCGTGCATCACAAGTTTATTCAGATTTTTGGTTAATCGGTCGTTGGAAGAAAACAAGTCATCGTTTTCAAGTGCGGTGTCACTGAGAGGAAAGCGCGACCTTGGGGGAGAGTCGTGGTGGACATAGTTTTGCTTCTTAAATCTAATCTTTCACCATCATTGCCCTCTTTCATATATTCCAAATACAGAGGAACAATTCAAACAAGGTACTTGATTGATCTCTCTCTATTTCATTCAACCATTTGATATTGACTCGTTAAATTGCATCGATTATTTTCTGCAATTTCAAGCTCGGAATCGTTACCCAGTCGGCAAGAGTCATTTTGATTTAAATACGATTGTGGATGCAAAATCTTTTCGCAAATTGGATGATTCAATTGAATTTCGTTTGTTAGAATTTCCAATCTTTCGTAATCAAACTGATAAGACAATCAGATTCATCTTCTAGCATCGGTAGAATTTTGGGACAGTATATAATGAATATATACATCTTGATAAGAAATATTGATTTATACATGGGCAGTATGAACAAAGTATGCTGTTGTCTTCGTCATGTCCACGATTGAGACATGCTAATGAGAACGAATCATCGTAAAAAATACATTTAGATTGCATTATCTCCTTCTGGATCTACTGGAGAAGTTAAATAATATAATTTCATGCAATCTGGACCCTTTGGTCTCAACAGGGCTCTAGTATGTTTTATTGAAGAGATGGAGAGAAAGTCGAGAAAGGACCAATTTTTTAAACTTCATCAGAAAATGGGTTGAGAGGATTTAAGACAATGAGCACCGTGATTTCTAGAGCTTCGGTTGTAATTTTCTTGTTTGATCGTATTGGACCTGACTTATATTTGATGGATTAGACCGTGATGCTGTACGGAGTGGAGGTATTACGTTCCATCATCGATGACTTAATCTAATTTATCTGTGCAGCACTATAGCTTAAATTGAAGACATGATGGCTGATACAAAGAAATTGATTCCTCTTCCACCTCCTCATCCCCATCCAGTCGTAGCCAGTTGTTCTTGCAAGGATGTAATTATGAGAAATTCACCGCCAAGAGGACGTAATTATGTTTCCGTAGCAACAAGAGATTTGTGGGAGCGTCTTTTTGATGAAGGTTATAAAGCAGATGTTTTCATTAATACTGATAATGGTGGCATTATTTACGCGCATTCTTATATTATTGTAAGTTCCGTTCATTCCGATTTGTGTTGCACTAAGATGATGTTCCATTTAATATTTGCTCCTGCCTTGTGATTTATGGGACGTCAAATTAGTTTAATTAGCTGATTATTCCCACAATGAAATGACCCTTTTTTGGCCAAAGGAAAAAAAAGGTTAGTAGAAATAAACACAACCTCAAGTTTTCATGTCAGTATGAACCCATTTGATGTTAAGTTGTGGATGTAACTCACTTCATACTATATGGATAGGCCATGGCTTCTCCAGTGATGAGAGGCATGCTTAAGCGAGCAAGACGTCATCGTCATATGAAATCAATCTCAATTTCTGGGGTTCCACATGGCGCTGTTCGTGTTTTCATTCGATTTTTGTATTGTTCCTGGTATGTCTAGATTCTATTCTCCATATCAAATTTTCTGAATAAATTAGGTAGAAGTCCTCCGTATTGCTCCAAACTTTGGGATAGGGGCTACCCTGAAACCAAATTTTCTGATTATAGGTACAACTAACTTTTTTGATTGTCCTAGTCAAGTCCTCTTCTATTACTGGTAACCAAAAAAAAAAAAAAAGTCCTCTTCTATCCACTTCCACTTAACAATCCCACTCATCAAATACTTGTTGAACACGACAATTAGTAGGGACTAGTTTCTAGTAAAGGGAGATGGAATTATTGAGAAACATAAATGTACAAGATAGATCAGTAAATAGAAAATAGGAGGCAATTAAGCCCATCATACGTAATAGGGCCGGGAGACATCATCCCTGACCGAAGTTACGGAGTTATTGGGGTATCATTTTAGTTGTCACGTTAATAGCTATGGACAAAATTCTATATGTTCATGCATGTTACTTTTGTCATACATAATTGACATTGATAAATTCACCAAACTTTTATGGGCTTTTCTCTTATAGTTACGAGAAAGAAGAGATAAAGGAATTCGGGTTACATTTGTTGGTTCTGTCACATGTATTTGCGGTTCCCCACTTGAAGCGCGAGTGTGAACAGGAGCTAGAATCGAATTTCCTCACCATCGACACTATGGTTGATGTGTTTCAACTTGCATTACTATGTGATGCTCCCCGCCTTATCCTCATTTGTCACCGTCGCATCCTAAAAAATTTTAAAGCAGTTTCTGAGTCCGAAGGGTGGAAGGCTATGAAAGAGAGCCACCCAACTCTTGAGAAGGAACTTCTGGAGTCTCTGATTGAGGAAGAAAATGTAAGGCTCTCTCTCTATTTTTTTTTTGGTCTAATCCCATCATTTGAACTTGCAAAGTGGAAACTCATGGAATTAATTCTCTAAATGCTGTTAAATGAATTGATTGATTATCAGAGCACAAAGGAGAGGATAAGAAAAATGAATGAGAAGAAAATTTATCTTCAATTATACGAGGCAATGGAAGCTCTGGTTCACATATATAGAGATGGTTGTCGAACCATTGGACCACATGACAAAGACTTCAAAGAAAACCAAGCGCCGTGTAGTTTTGCAGCCTGCAAGTGCTTAGAATTGCTTGTCCGTCATTTTGCTTCCTGTAAGTTGAGAGTCCCTGGTGGTTGCAATCATTGCAAACGGATGTGGCAGCTATTGGAGTTGCACTCTCGAATATGTGCCGATCCAGATAACTGTAGAGTTCCTTTGTGCAGGTAACATACAATGTCTATCTGAACTTGAGATTTTACTTGATGATGCAGCTCAAATATTTACCTACTTTTTGATAAATCCCGTCATTTCAGGAACTTTAAGGAGAGAATATCAAAACAAAGCAAGAAAGATGAAGTTAGGTGGAGAATACTGGTAGAAAAAATCTTGAGAACTAAGGGCGTTGCGCTAGCACCATTCTTTCAAAAACAATGATCGCGAGTTTTGTGGAAGCAAAGACGCAGTTGGCAGAGAACCTTCTTCGCGTTGTACATTTGATGTTTGTCTCGTTCTTGGGTTAGGAGAGTCCTCCTGAGAGGATTTATAGTGTTGCTCTTCTGCATCTCAAATTCTCAATAAAATTTAAAAAAGTACTCAAACAAATTATTTACAAATGAGGATTAATAATGAATCCTATTTAAAAAAAATAAATTACCTTCCCATTTTAACAATAATTTATTTTGTATTAATTCTTGTTTGTATATAATTTTTTTGAGTGATTCTTGAATGTAATTCTCCTTAAAATTTATGAAGCTGAGAAGCATTTTGTCTCAATTTATTTTCGCCTCCTTCATCTGTTGTGTTCGAAATTCTTTTGAGGATGAAACTTTGGCAAACTTATGTAAATAAGTTAATTAAAAAAAAAACTATAATATATAATTCTTTCTTTCAAGCAAATTCAATCAGACATGATGTCATAGAAAATATATATAGTCATGTGATATGTTTTTAATTAAAAAATTAACAAGTTGTCCTTTTTTTTTTTTGTTTTGGTAGAAAAGAAGTCCTAAAATTTTCACCTAACAATCAATAACTTGAGTTCTGGACAGCTGTGCGCCTTCCGCTAGAATTGCTCCATGCCAAGTAGGAGCAGGGATCGACTTTTCTGGGTTCATGAGGACTAGACTTTTTTCAGTTTTAAATTTACAATTTCATTAAAAAGAGTTGATTTAAAGATATATAGATTGTTAACCGTAGTGAGCCGTTAAGGTTCAAGAGATATCTTCTATCCATTGAATTTACAATTCAGTAAAAAAAATTGATTTTAAATATTCTTATATAATTTATAAGACGCAAGTACAATCTCTATACTCTATTTTCGTCTTCATCTCCGCCCTCATTTTGTACAATCTCAAGATCATCAACATGAGCCCAGAGCTGAAAACACTGATTCCAATTCCTTGCGCAAGTGCTGGATAATTATTTAATTTAGTAATATCTCAACCAAACATCAGCCCATAGCTGGAAGCACGTAAGATCGTTATGTATGATCACAGGAATCGAGTAAACAAGCTGCCGTCTTTCACGGGGTCTCGTCTTTTCTGGCTGAGCTATCCACCGTGATTATGTGATGCTCAAGAATTATTAACGTGGGTCATGTCTGGATCATTTTATGTCCCTTAAGTTTCTCAACGACTATCCATCTCATTTTTTCTGCATCGTTTTATATAAATAATTACAAATAAAAAGCAATAGCGTTTAAGAACTGTCAAATAGAATTACATAAACAATGCCATAATGAAATTACAAATAACTATAATTTTTATTCACCGCTAAAGACAAATAATATTTTTTGTATTTAAAAAATAGAAGTAAATAATAATTTATTTATGTAAAAATATAAATAATAATTTATTTTATGCTAGAATTTACTACCCCTAGTTATACTCAAATATAAATATTTTATTTTATTATTTAAATTTTTATACCATACAAATTAAGAATCCAAAACACATGTTTTGTTTTAGAATTTGTTTCTACGCGCATAAATAACTATTTTTATGTTAGAAATTGGTACCTCGTACATATTAAGAAAAAATATTTTAAAAATTTAAATTAAATTAAAATTTAAGCAATCAATTTTTTATTTTAGAAGTTATTACCACTGTTCATATTAAAAATATACATGATAACTTTTCTTATTTTAGAATCTTCCATTCTTGTGAATATAACGCTTTCTTTACTCCTTTTTGGACCAAAACTGTTGAATTCCAACTGGGAGGCATTTCATAGCCGAAATCAAAATTGTGCGCCGGGGTGAATAATAATCTATGGTAGGATAATCTAACGACGCAACTTTTATATATTCTGAGTTAAAAATTAAATAATAAAAATTTATTTTTATTCCATAATTTTATCTTAAGGGTCAATGAACATTTTAAACTTAAATAAAGGTCTATTTTTATGTCTCTCAACATTATAAATTCTCTCTCCTGATACTCTTAACATTAACTCACCATGTCTTCATCGTTAGTGGATTTCACATTATATTTTTAAAATATTTTTATTATAAAATATTGAGTTAAGAATTATTTTTATCCTTTATTTGAAAATTTAATAAGCATCATGAACTTAAATATTTTATAATAAAAAATATGTAAAAAATATAATGTGAGGCTTGTTAATGATAAAAAAATAAAAAAAAAGGGTACGATGATGGATGAAAAAAATTTTAACGTAGAGCATGTAATTGACTTTTATTGAATTTAGAATGTTCACCGCATGTAAAGTTGAGTCCTTGAGCCAAAACTAAATTGCATGAAGTTTCCTCGAAAAATAACCGCATGTGCATACGGATACTATGGCAGAGTAGTTGTTTGAGGTCACGGGTTTCGTTGTCTTCACTGTGAAAGAGTGGAATGTGGATAAAGATTTACCCAGCGAAAAATGCTGATCGAATTTAGGAATAAGCAACCGAAAGAAGAACGTAAGACGAACTGACGAAGTTTTGACGATCCATTGGCAATTCCAGGTAAGTTTTTATAAAAACAAGCAGCCATTGCTGCTTTCATACATTAGAAATCATAGAAATGGCGTTCTCACATTCTTAGTAGTTGTTTGGATACAAAAAAAATCAATTATTTCAGGCAAAACCATGGTTTGGGCAAAAAATACCCAAACACTCCTATTTGCTCATAATTAATTATTTGACTCCAAGCCAAGTTTTGGCTTAAGCTGGGAAGTATTTTTGAATTTCAATTCTATTATTATTTGTATTTATTATTTGTTAGAAATACTCACTTGTCAAATATACCCTTGAAGATTGTTATCTTTCAGTAATGCCATGCTCTTTGGTTTTCTTTTTCGTGTGAAAATAAAACTTCTGTTTTTGTCAAATATATGCTTTCACATCTTATATAAACTTGCCAAAATTCTCATATTTTATTTATTTATTTAGCGCGAGGTGTAACTTGATCAAGGTATTTTTTATACAAGGATGATATTAACTAGAGTATAAAACATAGATGTGTTAACCATGTTTTCAATTTTACCATCATATGCATTTATTATTTATTTTTACATCAATTAAATTAAATTATTAATATACCGCGTAATATTTGATAACTTCTCTTTAGTGAATGTATGCACAACTCATCCTCCTACCATCTCCCACTTCCGTTTCACCATTTCAAATTCTCATTCTTAAGCTTCCTGTAACAATACGGGGTTTTGATATTATAATATAATACCAAGACCCCATCTCTAAATAAAATATTATATTATAATGTTAATGATTGAAATTGTAAAAGATTCTTTTATTTTTAATATTGTTTTTAAATATAATTTTCATAATTAATTAATATATCTTGTTAAATAAAGTTGAATGAATTTAATATTATATACAACTTTATCAACATTTTCATTTTCAAAAGCAATGTTTTTTATTGTAATTTGCACACCTAAAATTAATTCAAACTAAGTCATCCGAATATATTTAATTTTATCAAAATCAATTTTTAAAAAATTATATCCAAACATATTTTCATTATAATATAATCAATTATAATTCAAATCAATCATATTAATTAATGTGTTGGGTTAACAGTCATTTTTATCTCTGAACTATACACGAAAGGTCACAAATGCTTTTAAATTCAATTATAGGTTAATTTTATCTCTCAACATTAAATACTTTCTTTCTCATCATTCTATCATTTTTTCACCATTAGATGATTGTTAGTAAGTCCAACATTATATTTTTAATATTTTTATTATAAAATATTTGAATTAAAAGGCAAAAATGACTCTTCAAAAAGAAGTTGAAGAGCAAAAATAACCCTTAATTTTATAAAAAATATTTAAAAATAGTAAAACCTACTAATGATCAATGGACATTGAGTGTTTTTAACATTAAAATAATAAAAGATAAAATCTTTAAAATTAAAGAACAGAATTGACTTAATTAAATTTAGAGACAACCTTTTTAAATATAGTTTAAGAATAAAAATAACTTTTAATCTTAATTTTTTTTTATAATCAATTATATCACGCTGATTTTCAAACGAACCTTATTCTTTCAGTATGTTTTACCCTTCTCGAAACTTGGTTTATTTACCAGTAGTGCGGTTGCTGTTTCGTCTTTACATCCGAGAACCACTGCATTTGGTATGAGTTGCAGAACCTTTTCATTGTGTCATTTTCACAGACAGTTTCTGGTCGTCACTCTCGGTTTCAATGTCCTGTCAAATTAAACGCTTGGTTGATTTAAATGCTAGGCATGGTCGCATTAGCGCAGACACAAAAGCTGCTTGCAAAATTGCTATTATTGCAAATAATTGATTTAAAAAATACATATAAGAACCTCTTGGTTAAAGCCAAAAAAGTCTGTAATATGGAAAATGTGTGGGACTCTGATCTAATCAAAACCATGGCGTGTCGTGGAATGGAGGGGGAAAAGGACGCGTCTCTTTCACTTGCTATCAGGAAATCCAATCCAGCCTCAGATGGTGGTCAGTGTGCAAATTATTATGGTCTCAGTATGCTTTGAACTGATTGATGTTCAATCTCAAGGATCCATGTGCCCGACATTTGATGGATAAAGCTATCTTTCTTTTACATTACTCACGGGTGGAATATGGATTCTCTTGGCATTGAAAATACTCTCCTTAAAGTTTCTATACTGAATGAATCTGATTCTGAAATGTAGGCAATTACGAGTGGGACGACATTTGTTTACTTTCAATGCTGTCCTCCGAAACTGCTCCGCGTTCACAACGCTAGGGTGATGAGCTTTCTTCATCTGAACTTCCATCTTGTCTCACATTGTACCTGTTTAGAACTGGCAACGATGCATTTGCAGTTATCCGGAAGGATCTGGAAGAACCGATCACAGCTTTATCCTGCTGCATCCTTCCCACTTCCTTGCACACCTGGTCCAAAATATTTAGGAAATCCCTGACAATCATAAAGATTCTGAAAGGGTGGGCTTCTTCCTTGGCTGCATCCCCGTGAAAGTATTCTGTAACTTCCTTCACAAGAAATAAGGCCTTCAGTTCATCAGCCTTAATTCTAGTGATTTCCTCTTCAGCGTTTTCCAGAAATAGCTTCGTGGAGTGGAAGAAATTCCCTTGCATATCTGGCTTCTCACACTGCAAAGCTACTCTCACTTTTTCAAGACCCTTTTCAAGTTTTGAGACGTAGCTGCTTAGGACATCAGAATCCATTCCTGCTGCTTTTTTGACATTGCTGAGGTCCCTACCGAGCCCAGCCACAACTTGCAATCCTTTCTTCTTGAAGTCATCCTCATTGAACTTGGAATTCACTTGGTTCTGAACATTTTCATGTGCAGAATCACCATTTACACCTTCAGCTCTAATGATCTCTTGAACCACAAAGTGAAGTAATGTAGTCTTTCCATCCGTTCCCTTTATGTCTGCAAGTTTTAAAAGCGTGTCCAGCTTAAAGGCTTTAGCATCACCTCGATTGGTGCCCACATTCATTCTGTTTCCTGTCTTGAGAACAGCTTCAAGGAGTTTGAGGAACAACCGGCTATTTTTCAATTCCTCACTTGCTACCTGAGAAATATTAACAACGGAGCGACTAGTTTATATAGGGTTAATAGTAAATATATATATATATATATATATATCTTGAAACAAGAGATGAATATACAAGAAAATGACTTCAGCTATTAATACCTCAAGGGTTTGAAAAGACTTCCTCAGGTAGTTAACTTCCGCATCAAAGTTGGCTCTGTAAAGCATGGCTTCAACTCTTTTGAAGGCAAACGGGATATCAAGCACTGTTTTAAGAAATCTTTCAGCTGACCCTAGTTTTGAGAGGTCACCGCCATAGTTTTTTAGTTTTATTTCTTCCTCCTTAGTGGGAGCCATTTTTACCAAAGTTTCCAAAAGCTCAGCACCCAAGGCTTCAGGATTCCCTACATAAAATCATCACCACTCATGATGTTTGCTATGCGACCAAATTTAGCCATAAAACATATGTGTACATTGTCTATTATTTTAAATATCTTAGATGTCATTTTTTCCCCCTTAGAATGCACGAGTGATTGATATGCACGTTTTCGCTTAGAATGCACATGCCAGCCAATCACAAATAGGCCATGAGTGTTCCAAAAAGTTAAGCCGCAAAATCGATTCTTTGGCTTGGTGAGCCCTATCACTATACAGTCAAGAACCACTCACTTCCACATGTTGTAAGCAAACTAGAAATTTTGGCTTTTACCTCTATCGCGCAAACAAGGTCTGAAGTGTGACTGGTGGCTATAAGTGGAAAGGACTGAATTAACTAACTCACCATTTTGAAGGGCGTCAGACACCTCATCTCTTGTCACATTCAGTGCCCTCAGTAGTATAGCTATGTTCTGAGACTTCTTAGCGTCTAACACTCTGTTTTCTTTTTCAGCTGGTGGAAGAACTGATCTTCGAATGGGCTCTTTAGGGGCGGGATTCGTGGAATTGCAGCCAAACAAGGTTTCCATCATGTCCTCATTTAATCTACAAAACAATTGAATATTAATTCAGTTCTATTCATACTCTCACTGCTCCAAAATTCCCTTAGCTGATAGTTTTACACTTTTGCTTACTGAAATGAGCTTGATTTTAGTTGGTCCCACACCGTAGCGCGGTCTGAGGTCGCACGTACTTTGTCCCAATGCAGAGCCTTTAACTTAGGTTTTGCTCCTTCTATGTCATCGGCTTCAAGCCTCCCAGAAGAGCTGAGACTTTTATCACCATTTTCTAAAGGTTTTGTTGCACCATTAGCAGAACCGGCTCCATGGTTTGGAGAGCAAGATTGTTGGTGCCTTGATGCAGAGGAAGAGGACATACTGATTGCTGGAGACCCAGTCTTCCGTGGCGTCAATTGCCGTGGTGGAGGCGGTGGAGGTGGCGGTGGCGGAGGCGGAGGAGGGGGAGGGGGAGGATGGAGGAAAGTCCTTGATGTGTTTTGGGGTGCGCTGTTGGTTGAATGAAGACGCGTCAAATCAGGCGCTGGCGGAGGCGCTGAGAATTTCGGTCTTCTGGAAGGACCGTTGGTCACTTCTTTGTCCAGATGCTGATACGGTTGTGAAAGTGGTAGTGCCGGCGGTGGCGGAGCAGGTGCCGTAACAGACAGAATGGGCTTAGTTGGTGGGATCATGACTTGCCTAATATCCGGCGATGTAGCTGAAACCCGAGATTTCGGTGAAGTTCTCTTTGAATAAGGGACTGAAGTAGCGGAATACGTCTCACTCCTGGCAGAACGCGCAGGGCCACCATTAGCCAAAGAACTATGACGCGAAACAGGGGTGTAATAGCTATCCTCGTAACTCAATGATGACCCCTGTGGGGAATGAAACACCGTCTCGTGACTTTCCTCGTCGTCGGAGGATGATGAAGACGCCGCTGGTGGGTGACTCTCATCTGGAGGCTTACTCAACATCGGCAATGGCTGCAATTCAGGACTGGGACGGTATCGTTCAGATCGCTTAATAGAATTGAGCTTGTGATAAGGGGACCTGTTTGCTCCATTGGTCTCACTCGGCTCCATCACCGACGTTCGGCCCGGTTCCACGGTTCCAATGTAGAGAAAGCTCGATGGTGGCACCCTCGGATCGTCTGGAATCCTCTGAGAATTCCCACCAACGAGCTTCTGGGTCTCGATCGGTTGCCTCACCCGATGCCTGTACAAGAAGAACGCAAGGGCTGAGAGCATGCCAAGCGTGACAATTCCGACCGAGATTGCAATTGCGACTTTCTTTGTTGGCTTGGTCGGCTGTGTTGCCGTTGGGTTTGCAATTGTGCCGTTGGGAACTGAAGGTGGTGGCTGATTCTGATTTGGAGGTGGCCCTGCAGGATACTCATGAAAGAAGGGAATGTCGGTGTTGGGAGAAGGTGGAGTAGTATAAGGTGGCGGTGGCGGAGGCGAGTCGGTGGCTGGTGGTCGAGCAGACGTCGCCGGAAACAAAGGTTGGTGCAGAATTCTTCTTGACTGAGATTCATTGACGGTGCGGAATTGGGTGGCATTGACCCCTTTTGCAGTTGGCACGACGAGGGACAGAAACAATGAGACGATAAAAAAAAAGCTCAAATGATGAGCTTTCATGGTGCATTATCCTGGTTTTCGCTTATTCCCTTTTCTCCAGCCCGATTCATCTCTAGTTTTTCCTTTCCCAGCTCGGAACGTGGGCTGGGGAAAGGAAACTTGTTTTGGCATGAGATCTAGATGGATGTTGAGAGTCGAAACATTTCATCAGCAGAAGCCAGAGTTTTTTTTACTTTTCATGTATTTCTATTCGCTCGGTTCACTATGGAGCAGTATTCGGAGACGCAAAGAGATCATAGTCTTGAAAAGATGAAGAAGGGAGATGCAAGGAGAGAGAATAAGCTCTGTGTTCCCTTCATCCTTGTCCCCACATGAGGAAGGGAGTCGCAGAAAGAGAGAGAGGGAGAGAGAAAGCTCAAGAAAGTGACGTGCAAAACTGCAAAGAGAGGGTGAGCGAGCAGAAATAATAAAAGGCAAAAGTCCAAAACAGATAAAGTATAAATATTAAAAGGAGAGGAGGCAGACTCAGATGATAGACGATGTTTCAGTTTTTTTCAGCCTTGTTACGCTATGGGCTTCCCCCGGAAAGATCAGATCGATGACTAATTGACTATGATGAGTTATGACATTATAAAATGTAAATTTGCGTATTAAAATTCATATTTACGGTGGAGTAAAGCAATAGATTAATGGTGAAGGGAATGAAACGTGGCAGTGACAACGAGCTTTGTTGTCTGCTTTTCGAGATGTAGAATCATTACGGGTGACTGGCCTCACAGATCTATTAGAGATATATTCGTTGTCAAAAAGCAAAAGGGCTATACTGTACATTGAAGTCCTTTATCGTCCATTCATATAATTTATCTCTTTCATGGGAACAAGGGCAAGGCACAAATTCTATCTTGATGCCGTTAAATCTGCGTTGACAGGCCACTCTCGGCCTTACTGCTTTATACTTAAAAATAATATAAAAAAAAAAAGTTCGTATTTTTAGCCAAACTAAATAAAAATCATGAAGAGAGCAATTGTGGAATGTGGAATTCGCTGCAAGTGTTGCGTCCCAAGAACTAAAGTAAGCCATATAGGTCTTTCCACGTGGCAAGTTTGTGACGGGGCGTGCCTCTAGGTTTTCCCATGTCACGATTACCAGTTCGTGGTTGTGGCATTGAATCACCAACCCTCCCTAGCGTTGGGGTGGGGGTGGGACAAGCCCACGCCCAAGCCCACGATGTTCCCTCGCTCGCCTTTATTCCCTTCTCTCCTTTTGTCTGGACCCCACCCCACCACTACCCAAAAGACCATACTGTCCTTTGTTTATTGGACCTTCTCTTTTTCTTTACGCCCTTTTTCGCATCATTAAAGTTTATGCCTTTCGTCTAAACTATGCATTTTGCCATTTGATGGTCCTCTCCTTTTACTCACACTCAAAATTATTACAATCAACGTCTCTCTTTTTTGTAACGGAAAAATGTATTTTTTTAAATTAAATTTATAAATAATACAACCTATCTATCCTAAGTTTTAAGGTTAACAAAAATTTTATCACGTCTCTATTTTCACACAAATTGTGTTCTATCTAAGATTTTTAAAATCAGATCGATTAAAAAAGTTAATGATTTACGGTTTATATGGTCCAACCGAATTAAATTAATAGTCAATTCGATTACATAATAATTAAATTAAAAAATTATATATGTATATAATAATTTAAATATAAGAAATAAATATAAAATTGTTACTTAATTTAAAAATTAAATTAAATTTTTTAAATTTATCATAACTTAATAAATCACATGATATAATATAATACCAAATGATTAAAAAAATTAATCATTTTTTAAAAAAATTTGACAAAAAATTTAAAAAGGAACCTTTTTCAATAGTCCGATTTTTAAAAACCAAATTCAATTCAACCCTCAATTCAAAGTGACCAAATTTAGCCCAATCCCTTAAACAGTTTTTTCAATTTGATCAAAATGTTTGCTTGTCAACCAGTTCAACCGCCTAATTTGATTTAGTTTTTTAATCATTGATTCTATCCCAAACCTCTGCTGTCGTTTTAAACGGCCATCTACATTACATTTATGAATAATGCAACCTATCCTTTATTTTCATCCATCTGACAACTAACAAGAACAACAACATCTCATTTACCATCCACATTTAACCTATTAATTTTAAATTTAAAAAACTTAACAGGTACTTTTTCTGTTAAAAAAATATAAAATATTTTTGAAGGAGTTAGATGTTCAAAATTATAAGATATTTTTAATCGTTTAAAGTACAATCATTGTCTTTTTTTTAAAGTACCTCTATCAATAGAGACTTTATATTTATTATAAGGTGTTTAATAAAGATAAATATAAAAAGATAAAATTAATTAATAAATAAATAATTATTTTATTAAAGATAAGATTCGATTAAAAATATTTTATATTTTTAAACATTGGCAATTAAACCAATATCAAGTTTATAGGTATTTGATTGTTCAACAACTAAAATGATAAATAAATCAGAACCGGGGTGTCTCGCAGAGTCCGAAGTAATTTTACTGTACTATTATTGGAGTTTTATGCCCTTGTTTGGTGATGTTCTAATTTCACCTTTCAGTTATAACAGCCAGCCTTAATTCAAGGACATGCAATCATTTAAATCATGTTCAGCTGGCAATAATAAATAATTTATGCTTACGGCTATGTCAATCATGGAAAGTAAATTCTTCTTCTTCTTCTTCTTCTTTTTCTTGGAGAGCAACTAACTAAATTTTAATTGCGTGACGAGTATATATTGAGTTTGATCTCCTGACATATATATAATCCATCAAAATGAAACGAAAAGTGAGTGCTTCATTATGTTTGTTTCAATCATTCGGCCCAATTAACATTTAAATGGAGCACCAGTTTTATATTTTTTGAAATTAATGTATATACCTTTTCCATTTTAAATACAAAGCACGATATGATGTAATCGCTCCAGAATGCACTCCCATAACACCGATTATAGAACACTGATACTTCACATTGTCTCGTGTATCAGTATCAATATCATACCGATACTCACAGGTATTTCTTCAATACATATCTACAAAGTATTAAAATGCTATTCTTAATTTTAAAATTTTTTATTTTTGATACTCATCTGATACTGCTAGATTGCGAGTTAATACTTTAAAAGTGATACTTTAAGACTATTTTTAAGGAATTAAATTTTGTTAAATATTGCGATATTAATCTTTTTTATTCCTAATATATTTTTATGATTTACTTTTAAAATCAAAGATTATATTTTCCTTCAAAAATAAGTTTTAGACATTATAAAAAGACAAAAATTATACTTTTTTAATTATAAAAATGTAGGAATATAATTCTTGGCATTTAAACTCTAGGTGGGAAACTATCAGCAGAGATTAGGTAATAGGCAATTATGTACGAATAGAATAAAAATAAAAGTAATGATTGTGTTTTGCTTGATATTATTTTATAGGATTATAAATATATGCTACTATGGATTTTTTAAATTAAAATTATACTTTTAATATTTTACTGGACTATATATGCATCCTATATTTTTAAAAATGAAAGTATTGAGTATGGGATACGTATCATATCCAATACACGTATCAGTATCTGAGCATCACACACACCAATCTATCGTTAGTTGCATTAATTATTATATTTTAAAGGAAAAACACAACTTTTGCTCCCTATACTTTGTAAGAGTTTTGGTATAAATCTTTGTATTTTTTTGTTATTGTTCTAGGTTCCTTTTTTTTTTGCAAAGTTAGTCCCTCTAATATTGAGGTGGCATTAATGGTATTAAATTTGCTTATATGTCACTAACAATGTTAATTGAGATGCTAAGATGTTAAAATAGTGGTGAGTTAGCATGATGATTCAGAAGATTAAGGGGAAGGAAAACAGAGATTTAAATAATCTTCAACAAAAAAAGGGAAGGTTTAGGGCAAAACCACAAAAGATGAAGTTTGAGTATAGAACTCTGGTGAATAGGATCATCTTCTTCAATTTAGCCTATTGAGTACAAGAATGAAAGATAGAGTGGGAGAGTTGTGAGGGTTGAAAAAGAAATGTCTGATGAAAGCCATACTTATATATGATACAAGCATAAAGAAGATATAATATCATTAGAAGCATTAATTTTTATCCTTGTTACAAGCAACAATTTTCCCCTTATTTTTAATTAATAAAGAACACAAGCATGTGGCTGTATATGATACCAGCAGCGATTGTTTCCCTCTAAAATAATTAATAAAAAATATGTGGATTTGTATACACCACTAGAAGTACATGACACAAGCATCTCTGGCATGGAAACTCCTTATCTCAATTTTTTTCAACAGCTGTTTCATTACTAACTCTGTCTCAAATTCACCCGCCAAGATCAAATTCCTCTTCTTTGACCTCAACATAATATATCAGTAATTCTTTTTACTGTGTTAACCGTTTGCAGTACTGATTGTAGCTTGGGATTTATGTATAAATTATGTTTCGACTAAGTACAACCAGCGGCATCACCATCTTCAGCTGAGTTCCTAATCCAATTGAATTTAAAGTGACAGTAGGGACTGGAAAAATTAGCATCCCTCAAAACTTTGCTAACACTTGAGTCATCAAGTATAGATATGGTGAGTTGTTCAAGCTCAACTTTCATGATGAAAAGGAGTTGTTGTTACGGCTCCAAACAACCATAATGCTGATGAGCTCTATTTTCTTCCCCCCCCAATCTTCTAAATCTAAATCATTATGTCAACTCATCACTATTTTGACATCTCACATCTCAATTAACACTATTCATGATATATAAGTAAATTTAACACTTTAATGCCACTTCAGTATTAAAAGAACTAACTTTATAAACAAAAAAAATTATAGAGACCTATAACAACAACAAAAAGTATAATGACTTATATCAAAACTTGTGCAAAGTATAGGAACTAAAATTGGGTTTTCTCTATTTCAAATTAGTATTTCCTTTACACACATGTGCCATGCATTGTAATATCTTAGTTTTTATTAGGAAATTAATTTGTGGAATTATTGAGGAATTTAAATTGATTAATTTGAGATTTTATTAAGGAAATGAATTGTGTTTGAGTATAATTGAGGTTTATCGATGGTTTAGGTACTTAATAATGAGCTAAAATAGGCCTAGAGTCTGTATAGATATTATATAGGGTCTTAATTAAGTTTTGAGCCGAATGGGACCCAAATAATGGGTTGTAAATGAAGTACACCATTTTTGTGTCATGCATCATAGCGAATGATGCGTTCATTGCAGCGTATGACATAAAAACCTATTTTATTAGTCTATCTTCATGACAGGTGCAAATTCAGTGAGATTTTAAGAGTGTGTGGGTGATTTTTTAGAGGCATTGTTAAGGTTTAAGGTTCCCAACCCTAAGGCAAAAATTTAAGGTTTCAAATC